GTATATTTATATAAAAAATTTATATAAGTATATTTATATAAAGTAATAAATATATTTAGCTATCAGTTTTGTTCATGAAATGGATTATAATTCACCTTACAATCTTTCTCTCTTTTTATAAATAATCTCTTATAAAATGAGATTCAGAGTATTAAATCTGAGGCCTGCCAACTACGAATTATTCTCATACAGAGTTACGTGTTATTTTAGTATAGGAATAATAGATATATTTATTATAAAATAAAAATATAAAAAATTACATATTTACGATTAATGTTTGTAATTTAGTTCACACTTTGCGATCCCACACAATCTCTTGTCCAAGAGATGAACGCATGAACGTTCCGATATTTATATGACATTGTATATCAAGATATCTATGTGATGTCCTTTAGACATCGATGCTGGATTATAAAAAGAATTAAAGATAATAAGAGAAATTATATAACAGAAAGATGTAATGAAATAGAAAGAATATATGTGACTTTTTACATTTATTAGTATTGATTTATTTTATACAAGATCCATGTTTCTAGGAACATTACTGATAAATCCTGTTTGATTTTCTTAAATATTTCGTTCTAATATATATTCTTTGATGGATAATTTACGAGGTGTATTTTTATCTTCTATCTTCTATATCTTTCTATATCTTCATATATCTGATATATCTTTGAATTATCTTATACAACCAAGTGAAATTACTTGCGTTTTCCCGCATTATGCATATTTTTCGGTAGACCCAATAGCGAGTTAATAAGCTCGGAATTACGTTTGGGATGACATAATCGCGGTGCCACTAACATCAATCTGACCAGCTCCAATTCATTATCCTGAAAAAGATATTTCTTATGTACATAAATTCGCCTAATAAACCTATTTAATAGTATTATATTATACATAGTATTCTCTTTTCTAAGCGTATCGACAGTTAAGTAGCATTCCGAGTTCGAATCGATGCAAATTAATTCTCGTATCTCATCTTGTCGAAGTGTTCAATATAATTTCGAAATATGATAAGTGCGACACGTATATTAGCAAATTTTTAAGCGCCTCTTAATTGCCATTTAGAAGGACGGTCATTTACCAATCTTCTGCCGTAGGGAAGATTTAATTTGAGAATGTTCCTGTCAATATCCTCGAACTCACTGGATTCCTCTCCACGAACGATTCCGATGATAATAGCGACAATGACAGCCAATCTTACGTAATTAGCCATTGATTTAGATTATCCCTTTAGGGAAAGATAACACGTTGAAAAATATTTAAAAAATATTAAGGTACATAACATATAAGAATAGATTGAAATAAATTAAAATGGATTCAGATTTTCAGAAATATTAATTCACGAATGTAAAAAAGGAATGCTTTTCAATCCTGAATGCATTTTTATTCATTTTTATTCGTTTATTGCATGGAGCATATCTCTATGCTTTTCAATATAAAAATAATATTAGTTTTTTTCTGTGCATTGTGAATACTATTCAATTCAAAATTTTGAATAGGAAATGCAGTTTTTCAATCCAATTTCATCCAATTGAATCCAATTAAATCCAAAAAAAGTATTCGCTTTTTAAAATACGTATTCGGATAGAAAAAAATTCAATCCATTTTAATGCATTCTCGTTTGCTGGGTAATTATGCTATATGAAGAGAGAGAGAGAGAGAGAGAGAGAGAGAGAGAGAGAGAGAGAGAGAGAGAGAGAAGAGAGAAGGTTAATAAAGCCGTTTTTGGAAGTCTTTTTGATTTCTATGATTTCTACATGATTTCTATTAAACAATTTTTTTTCCACTTTGATATAGCCTTAATACATACACATAAAAAATATATAATACATATTTGAGTAAAGTACTATTTATAACTGTAAAGCTTTTAATGGTTTATATTATCGATATAAGCTGCTAATAGAGAAAAAAAATTTCTAATCGATTTTGTTTTTAAACCACAGTATTAAAAATCTGCCGTTTAGGTATGACAATGCATAAAGTTAAATAATATCTACTATTTCATCTACATAGTGTAATGAATGCAAATTGGTGTAAAAAAATTATTTTATAGCATTTTGTTGTGTCTATTAATAAAATGTTTCGTAAATACTCGAAAATTTTATTGAAATAAAATAATTGAAATGAATGTAATAATTACTTGGAATAGTGCCAATCTGTAGCAGAGGTTGAAGCAGCAGCGAATGCTGTTCGATGTAGATACCACGCGAATACGACGTGAATCTGAAGATGCTCTGTTTCTTTTATACCGAATATCCATCGCCGAGATCTGTTCCTGACAATCAGATCGTAAGATGTAGACGAGAACTTTAGCTGCGAACGACAGATTCTTCGGCGAGATTATTGCGGAAATTATGTTTCGTCTCTTTTATTAAGTTATGTAAAAGAAATTCTGCCGAAGGGTGCAGCAAATCCTGCGTTTGATTACTCGCGACTGTTCGATACAAGTATCTGTATTATATCTATGTATAAATATGTAATCTATATAAAAAAAATGTAATCTATATAAAAATACTCGGATAGCATGTTTCAGCAGAATCGCACAAATCTGTGATTACTTATGATGCTGGCAACTTATCGCAGATATGTTTTTAATTCAACGATTTTGCATATACTAACATTGTAGCAATATGCAGACAATAATGTGTATATATGTATCACCAGTAATTTAAGCAGTAAGATAATTGCGTCAATATTATATATATCTTGCGTTGTCGGCAATATAATAGCATTGTATGATGCTGCATATTATTATGACAACATGATGTAGTAATAGTACGAATTTTGATGATGACAATTTTAAAGTTGTTTTAAAGCCGGCAAATTGTTGGCAATGTTATCATATCGAAGACATCAAATTGCCAAATGAGGACTCAGTTGCTACAATTCTGGTAGCAATTAACACATAGTTGGCAGTGCGTACTTAACAAATAACATTGATTGCGACGCGCGTGTGATGAGAGCTAGCTATATGTATAATCATTATAAGGCAGAGCCATACGAGCATTGCAAGCACTTGTCTCGTTGCCACTCATTGCGCTCGTCACGAATGCAAGTCTCGTCAGGGTCAGTATCGTATTTAATCTCGGGGGAGATTAATGCTTTCTGTACGAGGAAACTCGACCTCGCGAAGGCGACGATGATTCCCCGCTCTTCATACCTCCTTTCGATATACCTACTCGGCAAGATGTACCGTCAAATAAATCACTGGCATTACTCATTCGACAAACGATACGTCGAGTGGACGAAGGATGATGATATTGTCATTCTTTAGGGAAGACGAGCGGGACAAAAGGAGATATGTCGCATAATTAAGTATTTCGAGACTAAGTTACTTATTGTGTACTCCGCTCGTCGCGGAGTTATATCTTATAAAGTCGAAAAACAAAGAATAAGCAAAAATTAAAGCCTATACAGTGTCCCATTATTCGGTTTATTTCTTCATTAGAAAAGTAATAAAAGTCAATGATAATGATAATATATATTTCTATTAAGGAACGCAATCCTTTTCCTTAATCGATTAATAACTTTCTATGAATTCAATTATAATCTCTTTATGCTGTCACAACTTTGATACATATAGCAAAATAGATCGATAATACTGCATACCTTATCTCCGTTTTTTTTTTTGTTTTGAAAGAAATTATAAGGAGAGAGACGAAATAGAAAAGAAAAAAGCAAAGTGAGTGAAAACGCGAGGAGGAAGAAGGCATCCAGCAGCGTCGAAATCTCCGACTATTCCCAGGGATAGATGCAGAGGTCACTAACCAGCATGTAAAAGCAACCTGAAACCGGTGGCGTGACCTTGATTTTACATTAAGATACCCTTCGAAGATCCACGAAGGCGAAGGTGTGTCGATCACTGACAAACGGATTAGCCATTTTTGACATCTCCGTGACATTTTCTCCGTATAATGAATGATGAAGGAGAATCTATCTGATTATGAGCGACGCGAAATCATTGCGGAAATTAACTTGTTGTCATTTACGGTCCGCGTTAATTTAAATTGAATGATAAACGTTACGATTAACAATAAGCAGAGCTCAATAAGATCGGAACAATGACAGTATGAGAAAGCATCTAAGAGAAAAATCTTTTTCAGCCGACTCTTCAATTTTAGAGCCGTTTCTTCTCGTTGATCCTCTTGGAAATTTTGTAGTTGTCGTGTCCGTTTGTATCCGTTCTTAAAGAAATATTTTAATGGCCAATTTTTTTGTATTTTATTTATTTGTCGCGTTCTCGAAAATTACTGCTATCATTATTTGCGAGAATTAATTTCAAAATTTTGCCATACCCGGGAATTAAGGAAACGCACGTCGTGCTGCTTATTTAATTTTTGTGTGAATTATGTTTAGTTACCGCTAAATTGTTATCTGTTTCGTAACGTTTGAGTACCTTTTCGTTTTCTCACGATGATTTATGCGACGTTTCGCACCCGCCACGGTCGCTCATCGTCTTCGGAAACCCGTTTGACTCACATTTGCCTCCATCAGAAGCCGTTTCGTGACTTTAATGCGTGTTGTGTGAAGAGATATATATGTTTCGCAGATATATATAGAGAATAACATACGACATCCTGTGGCGATATTTTCAAATACTGCGAAAGACAGAATCGTCTTTATATCGTTGCGAGAGTCAATCTATTCTCCGCGTGCGTTATAATAGCGTTCCTGTGTAACGATTTGTCGCGAAAAAAGTCACAAGATAGCCATGCTCGCGCTTCTGTCGCGAGACGCATTAATGGCTAGCTGATGAGCTGATTATGATATAATCCGTATCGTCCCTCGGACTTGTAACGATAAATAACAATACCTTTGATTCTCGATTTCATCCTATTATTTTCCTCAAAAACAAAAAGATTATAACACTTGTGGTTATCAGCCCTTCTGTTAAAAAATTACGGTGATAATGCGCGCGTGTTTGTGTGTGTGTGGGTATGTGTGTGTGTGTGTGTGTGTGAGATGTATGTGCGATAAACCTATTTTGCTTTGACGATAATAAGATGATTATGCGAATGTTCATTCCGGAAATATAAACAGCTATAAATTCATAAAATGCTTTTATCTTTTTTAAGAAATTAAGAAATTGCTTAGATCACCAATTTGCAAGCAATTTGCCATTGATTTATCACAGCTAACCTTTAATCGAGATACACTACTCGCGATACACTACTATGAATAGCGATTATTCTATGTCATTATAATTATGGATATTTAATCGAGAAAGAGAGAGAGAGAGAGAGAGAGAGACTGGTGGAGTTTATTTAAATCAACTTTGCATCGATAATATTCCATCTCGTTCATCCATTAACGGTCGACGATTACGGAGCCTGATTCATATATTCCATTTTTTTCTCATGTGGGCTTATGACACATAAAATTTATGTATTTCTATAGTATTAACTTTTCTCTCTCTCTTTCTCTCTCTTTCTCGCAGCTTCTTTCTCCATCTTTCTGTTCCGCTAGAAGTGGCATTGAACTCGCATGTAATATTTAAGCACCTCACCTTCATAATCCGATACTTCATAACCACGCTCGAGGCGAGTCCGCATGTCGAATCGAGAGATGAAAGAATCAAATTGTGCGTACGTTCAAACACCTATACCTATACATTCAAATATTAAGAGATCTATACAGATCTATCGACATGATACAATTAATTAGTCTATTTGATACAATTGTTTGATACAATTAATTGGTCGGGGGAATTTGAATACCGATCTAATTCCCTGGGATCTTTGTTCTCCTGCAAACGTTTTCTCGTCATCATTAGTCATCGGACGTTTGCACGTATTTAGAGCTTTCTAATGCCAGTAAAAATGAACAAGAAGTTAGAGCTCGCTTCTGCATCAGTAAGGCTGTTACTTTTGATAACTTCGAAAATTTAAAGCTTTGGAAGAATTTGAATTTTTGAAATTAACTTTGAACTGTCGAAATTGAAGATATTTTGAAGTTCTGAAAAATATATTTGAAAAATATATATGAATAGAAAAAAATAAAAATATGTTCATAATATATATTCATAAATATATTTGTATATATATTTTTATTAAGAAAATATATTCATTACTATTAACTATATTAAATTAATAATTTTGATTCATCGAAGCTCGAAACAAATCATCAATCTTAATCGATATTATTAAACGACTTATCGAATAATTCTTTCCTGTACCTAGGCAAATCACTAGCAGATACAAACAAAACATTATGACAAATTAGATCCGAATTGTGATTTAACGGATTACACTTTAATAAATAATACATTAATTGTGCATTGGATCTTTTTTATACCTTTTTGCTATTTCTCTCTCTCTCTCTCTCTCTCTCTCTCTCACACACACACACACCCACACACACACACACACACACCCACACACCCACACACACACACCCACACACACACACACACACAGAGAGAGAGAGAGAGAGAGAGAGAGAGAGAGAGAGAGAGAGAGAGAGAGAGAGAGAGAGAGAGAGAGCCCCT